CACACAGGCAAGTTTTTGGACAGTGGGAGGAAAGCAGAGATCAGGATCAAACCAGGGACCCTGGAGTTAGCCTCTGTACCACTCTGCAACCCTGCCCAAATTTATAGGTGTTAAAATGTATTACAATTTATCTTTAAAATACACTAGAATAAATGACATTCATTAGAGTAAAAATCACCAAATTAAAATGATAATCAGCATGCATTTTAGAGTATCATTGAAATTAGACAGTACTTGCTTGGCACAAACTTTTTGTACTTGAAACAGATCACTCAAAAATACTGTAGCAGAATCGGTCAATGTATGAAAAAGATCAAAATAACCATAGTTCAGCAAGTTCAGCTACCTAAACATGAAACATTGTACCTTCTGTAGCATACCGTATCTAGATATGTTGTAGCCAATCACCTGCGTTTATGTAAAAGCCTGAAGGCAATTCATCAAGACTTTGATATATTTGTTTCATCTACCTGCTCTGGTCTGATTAGTGAAGTAACAACATGACTTGTTCAAAAATACTGATGACTAAATTAGAATGTTTAAAGATGATTATAACAGTGAAATATGCATTTATTCAAACAAAACACTTCAAACTGATGTGTCTTATTTATAGCCATGGACTAATCATTAATGGTTAAGCATTAAAAGGTATTTGTTGACAACATTCAGTCATGTCAGTTGCTTATCCTGAACTTTGTTGGCAAGGAATTTTATGTAGCTGGGGTTTCACAGCCACCTTCCAAAAACATGCAGGTAGGAGGATTGGCTACTTTTTGCAGGTTCTCCCTGTGTCCACATCGCCCCTTATGTGTGAATGAGTGTATGAATGAGTGTGTATGATGCCCTGCAATGGACTGGCTTCCTAACAAGGGTGTGTTATTCCCCTATGTTCTGTGCTCTTAAGGGGACCTTATGGAACCAAAAATGATCAGGAGGATTACAACTGGCCAAAGCAGGAGGCCCAGGGCTTCAATCTGTCAGAGGATCTAAAATTCCTACTGCTGAAATCATGTCACTTATTAGAACCTGGGTTGAACATCTTTCACCCATATACTATCACTTTCACCAAAATCTGCCTCACCTCTGCTATAATATGATCAGCTGTGTTTGTCAGGACACGTGCCATGCTGCCATTCCAGGCAAAAGCCTATTGTGTGGTCCACTATAAAATTTTTATTACAACCAACAGGCAACATCACACAAAAACCATGACCCTCATACAAACTAAATAATAGTCACACTTTCAATACTCATTAAATAGGTTAAAATAGGTAGCACATGCTCTTTTAAGATTTCTGATGGACAGTTTGATACACAATCAGGTTTCTGCATAACTACACCAATAACCTGTGTCCAAATAATTTCCATAACTGTATGTAACTGTTTGACTGACAAACCACATGTCAACTCCCAAAACCAAATAATGTTCATTATTACCTCTCGCTATCAACATACACACACCAGTAGTTTTGGCACTTGCTTTTTTTTTTCTAATAGTACTCATTAAACTTCAACAGAACTGTTTCTGAGGGTCAACCCAACCAAACTCTGAGCTTTTGCGAATTTCTGAAAGCACAAGAAATGGGACTGCTTTGACCGAGATGAGGATGTTGCCGATTTTGCTGTGCCCTCATCTGAAGAAAATTATTCACAATCACATCATCTAATGGAAAACATATAAAAGTATGATTCAAGACTTCTTTAATTTTTCTCAGAGCTGGATTATAGGAATTTTGTAGCCTATAGCCCATGATAAATAACCCAGTGTGTGGAGTCTGGTCAAGGATGTACTAAAAGTAATTTTTACTCTGTGTTGGATTGTCCTCCAAGTTTTCTGGTAATCACATCCAACACACCTCAGGGCTTCTGCCTCTTGGAGGCCATGTGGCACCTCTCGGACTACAAATAATAGGACTTCCAACCTTTTATCCCAATTTTGGCCCATTTATCCAATTTATCCCAAATATCACAATATGTGCACAAACTTAGGAATCAAATTTTAAGCATTTTATTAATTAAGGTGATTAACTGCCACTCTTTCGGCCCATACAGAATATTCAATTTTGTGCAGCACAAACAGATATGTGTGCACATGCCCATTAATACACCTCACCTTCAACTACGAAAACCTTTCCAATACCTCACCTTGAATCAGGCTTTGGTAGATCAGGGTGTGTACACAGCTCAAATCCATCAAGGGCTGATATATGCCACTATGATGCTTATGGATTGGGGGAAATCAGAGACCTGGGGCACTTGATCCACCTGCATATGAGGGGCAGTACTCATCACAGTCAGACTAGTCAGTAACAGACAAGAGTCAGCAGCCAATCAGGTGAGAGAGAGAGAGAGAGAGTAAACAAACCAAATGGGAGTCAGAGTGAGAGAGCCTGATATAATAATATAAGAAGAAAATGTATTAAGGAATAGTACACTATTTGGCCAAAAGTATGTGGACACCTGACCATCACACCCATATGTGTTTCTTCCCCAAACTGTTGTCACAAAGTTGGAAGCACACAATTGTATAGAATGTCTTGGTATGCTGTAGCATTACAGTTTCCCTTCACTGGAACTAAGAGGCCCAAACCTGTTCCAGCATGACAATATGAAGATGAAGATAATGAAGATATGCTTGCCAAAGTTGGAGTGGAAGAACTCGGGAGGCCTGCACAGAGCCCTGACCTCAACCCCATTGAACACCTTTGGGATGAATTGGAAGAACAACTGTGCCCCAGGCCTAATCGCCCAACATCAGTGCCTGACCTCACTAATGCTCTTGTGGCTGAATGAGCACAGATTCCCACAGCCATGCTCCAAAATCTAGTGGAAAGTCTTCCCAGAAGAGTGGAGGTTATTATAACAGGAAAGGGGAACTAAATCTGGAATGAGATGTTCAAAAAGCACATATGGGTGTGATGGTCAGGTGTCCACAAATCTTTTGGCCATATAGTGTAGATTTGCTGTGACCCAACAATTTCTGTGATAAGTACATTTGAGCAGAGGGTGTGAGACTCTTGAAGCTCCCACAAGTTTCCACCCCCTATTCATTTACATGTTTCTACTGGCCAGTTGCAATGAACATGGGCAGGGAGTTTATATGCTTCAAGCTTTGGAGAGCAACTTATCCAAATTGTTATGCTCCTTATCCAAAGTCTCTTTCCAACAATCCAAATGCAGTGGAAGCCTATCTGGATTGGACTTTAGTGGCGACATTAGTTTCAGCCTCACATGCTCCGCCCATGGACCACAGCACATCTAATATCTTTAGTGCAGTTTTATGGCCACAACCTTCAGAATGTTGATGTATGCAATCTGATTGGCTCTCTCATGCTTTTTCATGCACTGGTTTTCAGTGGGAAAAGAAAATACCCAATGAAAAATGAACACTGAGCTTTTTGGAGCAAGTTAATGGAATCCCATGTTTAAAAGTTATTAAATAGCTTGGTTTGAAGCAGTTAGTGGTGAGGAAACATAATCATCTTGCATGTTTCCTGACAGGTTATGGGAAAATATCTGTGGTTTTTCATTTGCCATGTTTTTGGCTGTGTTTAACGACAAAAAGTACCACACTATCTAGCAAATGTTAGAAGCCTGGTGTGTGTCTCTCAGAAGGCGGTGTAAGGTCTTGAGCTCAGTGTGCTTGAACTGGTGAGAGAGGACAAGCCTTGGGTCAATCCTCTTTAATGCACTCCTGACAGGCCTCAGCTGTTAAAGGATTTAGTTAGCAAATGACAGCCAGCTGTTGCCAGATGTTATGAACAAAACTAAGGTCTGGATGCTCTCTCACACACACAGACACACACTGTTTCTCCCTTACACACACTAGCGCTGACCATTTGTGAATAAGTGATTTAATTAGATCCTTTTCTCTGGCAGTGATGCTTGTGGAGGCACCTCTGTCCTTTATGTCACATCCTAGGTCCCTGTTCTGCAGTACAATAGTGTTGACCTCTGCTTTTCTGTGTTTTACTGCTCTCAGGTTACAACAGGTGCACACTTTGCTCATGATAATTATTGCACAAAACAGAGAAACAGGATCAAACCAAGCTGTGAGTTAGCAAGGACCCTCAAGCTGTGAGTTAGCAGCTCTACCCACTGTGTCACAGCACCACCCTCTTGAAAAAAACCTTGAAAATATTAGTATAAAATAAAACATAAGCCACAACATTTGCCTGACACTTTTATTCAAATCTACTTTGAACTGAGCAGGTGAAGTTTAAAGATCATGCTCAAGGCCACAACCATGTCCTCTTAGTAGCACTGGGATTTGAACTCACTACCTTTAGCTTTACAGGGCAAAGCCTTAACCATTAAGCTACCACTTTCCTCAACCAGAGTATATTGATCCAACCACCAAAGGTTTCAATCTACACTAATTCAATCTATCATTAAATTAGTTCACATTAAAAGACAAATTTAAAAGACTAATTTGCTTTACTAAACATATTAGTATATAAATTCAAACTAAAATAGTCAGATGTCTATCCACCATCCACTATCTTTCAGATGCTGACACTACGAGAACTATTACCATTCTCACTCCTGCCTAAAACTTTAGATATCCCACTATACACTGTGCTTTCTGGTGTTTTACTGTAAACCATTGCACTGCTCTAATTGCCCGATTGTTTACAATACAATCCTGTAAAATACAGAGAATATTTTTCTGTAAAATAAATGCTGTAAATTTACAGCAAATTTTACTGTAGAAAAAGAAAAATCATCCTTTGTCCTACACAAAGGGTTCTCTTCCACTGACAATGATTCAGTCTGCAAAATCATAGATCTATATCTTATTTCTGAACCACTGCATGTCTTTACTAGACTCCTGTCCTCTATGAATAGCGTCTCTTATGTCTCCCTCTGAATAATCACTGAAGGAAATATGTTCTCTCTGTCTATCTGTTTTATTCCCTGATAGTCTGGCTGGGAATGCAAGACTATGAGACCATCCAACTGCCACCAGACAGAGAAACCAAGCAAAATCAGATGGGCCCTCTAGGCAACAAAGTTGTGATTCTCAGGAATGCATTAATTTAGTGAAAGAGAGCCACTTATTCTGAAGTGTGGATAACAAACAGGGTGAACAGACACAGCTGGGATGGGAGTTCCTTCAAAGGTTCTCTTCTTTTTATTCACTCCTGTCTTTGTGTTCAGGCTGTGCTTATTAACTGGTGCCTCACTCAGCGGTAGTCAGTTCCCAGTTGTCAAATGCTTGTGAGGCAACACTGTAGCTGAACTCCTGGCTGCTGAGCTAGTTCAGTTCCATTCAGTTTTTCAACAGTACTCAATCTCAAACCGTTGGTGGGCACAACAAGCACCTGAAACAGAACTAACAACAATATTACAACAGATGAAAGAGTGAATGGCCTCCAATATCACATCACATACCTCTTTAAATAGACATACATGTATCATTTTGACATGTCAGCATAGCGTGATGCACAGAAGCTTTTAAAACATGACCTGTGATGAGAATATCGTGCCCCTTTTGGCTCTGTTCCTACTCTGAGCAAATCAGTGTTTCCACTGACTTGCTGTGTACTATTTTCGAAACCTTCTCTCTCCATTGCTGTGGAAACTGCATGTGGTCAGGTTGCCAAGGAAGCCACACCATAGGTAGTCTCTGTTTGCTTTGGCTTCAGTTAAAACAAAAAGAAGGCCAGTTGAGCCCTGTTTGAATCACGAAGAAGTCACATAAAAACCTGAAATTAAGGTAGAATTATGGACTAAAGTAGAAAACACTCTTAGAAATTAAACTGTTATCAAAAAGGTAAATTTGTTTTGTAGAAATAAGATGGATTGGTTCAGAGTAGGAAATGTACAGTACAGTAAAACATTATAAATAATATTGTTTAGGATGCTGGTAACAATGGGGCTGCAAAAGCCTAAAGTCATTTTAGATATCATACATTTAACATTACCTAATCAAGTATGAATAAAATACGGATGTAAACAAATATGAAAACATTATTCAGAATGAACAGATAATTCATACTAAAATACAAATACAGATATGAATAAGAGGTGTACTATTGGTTTTTTATTTGTTTAGAAAGCTTGCCGAAAAGGTTCAGAGGTGGGCATCGGGACTGGGTTGCAACAAAAATGCTCTGTAAGTGGGAGGTCAGATATGAAGCTCACAGGACAAACATATGCATTTATAGTTTTTGCTTCATTCATCCTTAGTAACTGCCTGATAAGGATATATTATTATAAACACTTTGTTTATATTTTGGGAAATGGAACCAAGTAAATTTGTTAGAAACTATTACAGGTATGTACGAACAAAAATAATAACGGCATGAATGGGATTATTTAAAAACTTTAGACTAGAGCCTTACATTTATTACTGAGGAGTATAGCTGTATCAGGCCAATTCTGTCAGGCACAAAACATCAATTGTCTGCAAATGTATATGTACAGAATAAAAGGCCAATCTGCACTATTTGGCCAAAGGTTTGTAGACACATGACCAATCACATCCATGTGTGCTTTTTGAACATTTCATTCCAGATTTATTCCTCCTTTGCTGTTATAATAACCTCCACTCTTCTGGGAAGGCTTTCCACTAGATTTTGAAGCGTGGCTGTGGGGATTTGTACTCATTCAGTCACAAGAGCGTTAGTGAGGTCAGGCACTGATGTTGGGCGATTCGGCCTGGGGTGCAGTCATTGTTGCAGTTCATCCCAAAGGTGTTCAGTGGGGTTGAGGTCAGGGCTCTGTGCAGGACAGTCAAGTTCTTCCACTCCAACCTTGGCAAACCATGTCTTCATGGAGCTCGCTTTGTGCACAGAGGCATTGTCATGCTGGAACAGGTTTGGGCCCTTTGGTTCCAGTGAAGGGAAATTGTAATGCTACAGCATACAAAGACATTCTATACAATTGTGTGCTTCCAACTTTGTGACAACAGTTTGGGGAAGAACCACATATGGGTGTGATGGCCATATAGTGTATATAATTAAAGTAAAACTTGGTATATCATTAAAATCCAGCTTACTATTTGTTACATATAATACATGATTTATATTTTTCTATAACTTGGCCTATCCATATAAACCATAATATATAGTAAATATGAACCTGCTCATCAGCTACAGTTGGTGTTCCTAACCTCTCACTGTGCTCTAAGATGCTTAAAATTCTCAAAAATGCATAAACAACTTTACCAAGTCATCAGTTACTCATTCTGTCACCAAAGTGTATCTTGATGCTTGTTTCAGAGACCTGTGAGTCCTGTGCATTATTTGTGGAGCAGTGAAAAAGAGTGAACCCCCATGCAGGCCTTCTTGTCTTTGCTTTTGTGCTGAATCTGTGTACCACTGCACTAATGAATGGTTATTTAATGATCTAAAAGAGGTGTTCAGCTGAGTGGAAAATGTGCAAGTCTGTGGAGTGTTGTTTCTCGTGTGCAGAGACAAAGGTCTACTCTGCTGCTGAATTCTCTCCCATCTCTCTTCCTCTCTTTTAGTCTCCTTTTTCTCTCTAATCCACTCAAAACATATTCGGGTATAATAGTGGTGGAGTAGCAAACTACATGTACTCTCCTTACAGTACTTATCATATATAGTTCATTGTACTTTCTTGCATATAATTAAATCATAGTACTTCCACCATTACTTGCATTTTGAAAAATAAAATATTCAGTGTTGCTACATTTATTTTGTATCACCATTACAGAGTAGATGTAGAGTAATGCATTTAACTCTGGAAGACTAGAAGCCACGTAAAACACAGTATGTGCAAATTTTAAATACCTCAATTTCAAGACCCAATCAAAATAAAACAGTTTTATGCCAAAATCTACACTTCAGACTCCAAATTCTTTCTTTAGTCATGAGCAGCAATGTCGGAGACAGATGATCATCCCAGTTTTAAATGCTTCAAAGGTAACAGTGTGATAATTATACACAAATTATGCAAGCCAAAAGCCAGTAGAGATATTGGCAATTCATAGCTAAACATCCAACCTACATCAACCATTAGCTAGCTGAGTGAGATAGACTAGCTAACCAGATCTTTTGATATTATACAACATGAAAGCTCTGTCTTAAACTTAAGATGTCACTTCGATGTTCAGTAGTGATTGCCTGTTGTGTTAAATATATCTAAGTGCTGCTACAGCCTATAGGTAATTCTCAGGATAATGTGTAAGTGGCATCTATGCTAGATAGCTAACTATGTATCTAGAAACATGTAGGAATTAAAATGAGCTAGCTAGCTATCAAACAAACCTAGCAAGCTACTGAAACTCCAACTGCATTTTGGCTAAGTTAGCTAGCCAGCTAATGTTACATTTCTTTATATACTGTTGATAATGAAGGTGGTGTTCACCTCCATTCAGCTTAGCCCACTTGGCTAGTTAGCATAATTGTTCAAAAATGTATTCTTCAGAATATAGAACATTTTCAGATTAGTTGTGTCAATTGTAGACATGTAAAAGCGTCTTTTGTAAACTAATTACTCGAGTAGTTTTTCAACAGACGACCTGTTTACTCTTATTTGAGTACTTTTCATGGTCACTACTTTTACTTGTCCTCAAGTCAATTATTACTACAGTAGCAGTACTCAAGTCAGTGTTTTGTACTCTCCACTACTGATTATACTAGATACACTAATTGTGTGGTTGCTTTTCAAAATAAGTTCTGGATGAATTCTTTTAATTTAAATAAGCTATGTGCTTCACATCTCAAACATCTGCAATTTCCACCACAGTCATAACAAGTCCTCAGACTACAAAGGAACTACAGATATACTGTACATCCCTGTTTAAATGCCTTTTGCTATGTGTGACTGAACACACAGCTTTCTCAATCTTGTAAATCAAGGATATAAAACAGGCACCTGTAGTTTTCGTGACTGCTCTAAAGGATAACCGTCATCCATCTAACAGCCAGCTGATGTCATTTTTACGGAACGTACACAAACCTTAAAGTCTGGTTAAATTCATATAAAAAAAGGACCATTCTAAACAAAAAGGCCTAAAATGATAATTCCCAAGCGCTCCTGACACGGTACTCAGTCTACCCTGAGACATGGCCATCTCCTCTGATTTGTAATAGCATCATTATTCATCTAAATTGCTGCTAAATTACATTTACTTTCCTGTCACCATGACAAAGCATCGCTCTTTCTGTCAGAGCAGCCATCGTGCCCAGTGAAAATACAGAAAAATATGGCCTCCTGTCCTGATAATATAATGATGTCAAGCTGTTTAAACAAGACATTGGATAGTATGACAGCTCTTTGATAGATCGTCTGCAGCAGTTCTTCATATGAGGTAAAACGCATGATCGGTTTGCTCCAGTTGTCTGACCTAAACA